ATGATATTATGTCAACATTAGTAGAAAATTAAATATGGAACCACGTAACATACAAAGTTAATTAGTGGTAGTAATTAATTGCCTATACCATTAAAATTGATATAATAGAAACCTCATATTAACATAATAAGTTTTTTTTGTAAATAATGGTATGAAATGTGATAAGATCTTAAAAGAGGATCTTGAATGTCTTGCCAGAGGTGAAAATTGAGTTTTTGTTGCATGATATAATGTCAGAATAAAGGGTTTTGCGTGCGAATAGTCACATTACATTAAACGAATTAACATACATGACGCGATAAAAGCCTAAATTAATTATTTATTAAACTTTTATTTATTACCCAACTACCTAAAAGAAATATCGGAATTGTCACAGTGTTGTTCATTAATGAAAGTGATTTATAATATACCTGTAAGTGCATTTTTTTACCATTTTCATTAAATTGCCGATTAAAGTCAAACATTTTCGCGATTAATTGAAATATAATGTATCGAATCTGCTGTAATTTATCATATTTATGTAAATTTATCTCTAATTCCCTTCTAATTGCTAAATCGTAGGAAATATTTGATGTAAAAGTATCATCACGTTCCTTAATCTTAATTAAAAAAGTTCCGATCAATTACGCAGACTGAATATTTTCTTCGTTGTGGATAGGATTAACGACATGTCTAATATATTGTTGATTTGTCTTGAAAAGACATTTTAAATCGACTATCGATACAGATTTATTATCCATCGACTCAAAATATCCCTATACTTACACATATACTTACACATATACCTTGGTCTCCGATTGTGCAGTGATAAAATTTTGAACAGGATCTACCTCATTAAAGTATCACCGTCACTATTTAAGTTTATCTGGAGCTCTATCGTTTATTGTAGAGCGAAGTACATAGTTAGTGGCAGAGTCATTGTTTTTGTAATGTACAAAAGAATAAAATCTCTTGCGCATGTGAAGGCTCATGAGATTTTGAACTAACTGTACCTCTCATTCGATAGCACCTATGACCATATATGTATGTATGTATACATATACAAAAAACCTATACACAATGCTTCTGAAATGCTAGCCTGTAGGGACTAGAAATTACATAGGATATATGAATTTTTTTTGTAAATATAAGTGAAATGCAGGGGCGGACTAAGACCTAGGCAACCTAGGCACGTGCCTAGGACCCGTAATTTTTGGAGCCCGAAAATTAGATTTTTAATTTGAAAAATGTGAGCGTCCCCGTGCTTATACATCCACGCCCGGAAACNTTTGAAAAATATTTTATCTGAAAAATTGCCTAGGACCCGCTTTAGCCTTAGTCCGCCACTGGTGAAATGAGATATAAATTTTCTTTTATTGATGCTAAATCTTTATTCATATAAGAAAAGCATACATTTGAGTGGTACCTTTACGAAATTATCGATAATACTGAACAACTACAAGTCAACTGACAAATTATAAAAATGGTCACGTTTGACTACCAAGATAATTGTGTTCAACTAAAGGAATAATTCTACATGTTATTAATTATCACAAAATAAGTGTAAGGAAGGATAAACTAAAAATTTTCAGGACACTTATTAACTGCCTACTGCTTGTAGCTGAATAAAATATAACTGTGGAATCGCTTTAGTATTAAATCCACAGATTATCCCTTACATACACGTATATCACTTCATTTAGTTGAAGATTATTTTATTAAATGAATGCACGGTGAATAGTTATTATTTGCGCATCCATGATTTATATCATAGTATTTATATGTATGATTGAAATTATACTTATCTGCATTTATAGCGAAGGACAACCACGATGTTATTCCTATTCTGAATAAGGATTTATCGAGGATAATCAAAGATGAGACTTGTTTGTATGCTCTGATGCTAAGCAATTGTAAAATAGTTAACGTTCTGTAATTCTAATGACTTCCGGATATTTAAATAGTTGTGCGTAGAATTATTTATAAAGGAATGTTTATTGCAAATTTTATCAATTTTATACATATAGGGCCGTGTTTTACGTCATTAGATGATACTAAAAAATTGAATACCTTCAGAATCTTTTATGTATTTCAATGAAGAATGCTTCCAAATCAACGTATTAGTGAATTAATTTTTTGAATCAAAAATCAGTTGAGACATTTTTCTTTCTTATTGTATTATCGATTACCTTTTTTAGCACATGTTCAATGTCGATTTTGTTTTGTCTTCATATTATATTGACTATTTTGACCACAGATTTGCAACGCAATTCTTCCAGACGGATGTAATAATGATTGTTTATAGCGGAAGTAGCCGTCGATTTTTTTCGTCTTGATTAGAACAAATGTAAATACAATTGGAATCTTTGAGATATAGAAAGAAACTTTATAATTAACAGGTACCCGCATTGATTGCCGTATAATAATACTGTTTATATAATTAGATGTCATAGTTCAAAAGTGAATAACTTGTCGGGTATTTAAAGACGAAATCGAAGAGAGTACCCACCTAATCAAGATGTACGATCACAAGAACAATACATAGGCATTAAAGCTGTTTTCTAAAAAAAAAATAGGGATGTATAACATACTATTTTCTATCATTATCATCTGTATCTGTTGTTAGTTGTTGTTCTGACAGACACAACAAACGAATTTCGAAAATACCTACCTTGCTATTCAAATTCGGACGCGCTTTTTTTCTCTTACAGTTGAACGAGTTTTCGATTAATAAATCTTTCTAAGAAGGTAGGTATACTGAACTCTGCTGAATGAACTAATTAAGTCGGTGTCTTTATACCTACCCGAGAGGTTATTTATTAATCTGAATAAAAACTTGCTGAAGAATTGCAGTTGTTGAAGATGGGTACAAAAATCGATGAGGTCATGTTTCATTTCAAGCGAGTTCAATGGCAAAGGGTTAATTGTATTAAAAGAAATAAATTTAACGTTAAGCGGTCGAATAGAAGCGTTAAAAAAATTAATTTATTAAGAAAAAACGTGGAAATTCCTCAATTTAAGAACATCATTAAAATGAATTTTTCGGAAGATCGTAATGACTATTCCAATGACGGATTTAGGTTCGACTACGTCTTAAGCCCAGCCGATTCAACACCTGTTTTGCTTTATAATAGTAATTATTATTATAATAAAACATCTAATTGCGATAAAAGAATTCGTTAATAATTATTACTGTAGATGAGCATGATGGATGTTGTTCGTATTTAAATGACTATTGAACTTACACATATTTATTTTAGGAATTTTCTTTATAGTAGGTACATATATTATCCACGACTGTTTGTAGAATCTATTACTTTTTTCCGAAATTGACGGCTACTTTCTAAATTTGACAAAATTGAAGGTCTCTAGTACAAGTAAACGGAAAACTGAAAAACTTAATTTCTACTTCTGGAATTATTAAGTGACAAATTAATTTCCTTGACTGTTTCACTTTATACATTACAAGTTAATATCATCCAAATTTAATAGATAAATTTAAGATAATTATTATTTTAATTAATATTTTAGGAATGTATATGTATGTATGTAACTTCCTTAAGGACAAGTACAGTAGATGAAATTTTTGAACTCGGGTATTGTTTGTTTTGTTTCATCTGTTAGTAATTGTTAAAAAATCACATTTAAGGAAAAACCTCATTCGAATTAATTTGCTAAGAAAAACTATGATTAATAATTTATATTGACAAAAGAAATTCAACAAATAGATACACAGGAACCTTAAAAAATATTACTTTAGTTCAAAGCTCGCAAATGCGACATTACAATTGCGATAACAAAATTTTACTTGATTCTGCAGTTTATTACAATTATTAATGAAATTACATAAGTAATACACTAATAATAATTAACATTTTTATGCAATGTTTTAAATTGAAACATTTTAACAGGAGCATTAGCATTAACTTTATGGCTAACGATAACGGATTCGTAAAAATAAATTATGCATGTTGAATAATTAAATTAGTGAAAATTACAATAATCTATCGATAAATATATATGAATATGATTGTGGAGATAGTTTTGATGAGTATTAAAAAAAATGTCCATTTAGATATTCATTTTACTCCTGACACGAATTTATTAATAAAAAGTAGCAACAAAAATTTCCAGTAATGACCTATTAATTTAATTTCAGTCAATTTTTTAACTCTTTCGCGAAAAAACGGTACACACGTGTCCAATAGAATTACGATTTTAATACGTAAACTTGTCAATTACTAATATTAAAAAAAATGTATAAATCACCCATGAGTTAATTTCTTTTTAGGCAACGTATTTAAATTGCTTGTTTACTTCGAACTTGCGTTCATTGATTTAAAAGAGGATATTGTTCGATTGCAGGACTTTTTCCGCACGTAAAAATTTTTGAATGATGAATTTCCATGACGTAGTAAATACTTATAATATTTTTTTGCCTCAGACCATTCTCTTACCATATAATTTTTCATAAATTAAAGTAGTAGCCGCAAGCATTTTCTGTTTCTTAATTTATGTTCCTAGTTGAAAATGGCTCTAGAAATTATTAATAATTCTTACATAAAATAAATACGGAAAAAGTTACAAACATTTATTTACAAACAACAACGATTATTTTGATGCACTGTATCTTGGTCAGTATCGTAAAAATTATTGTGATTAAATGAATTTTTGTAATTTTTTTTGTATTTGTTTTATGCAAATATTTATATGGAGTTACAAGAAATTAACGCCTTATCGGAATTGGGAATTAGGGAATGAAAACCTCTCCTTGGGCCATATTTTTTTTAATGATAAATCGTGCCCCGTAGGACCTTAACACGTTTTTTAATCTTTAAACAAAAAAACTGACATTGTCAACTTAACAATAGAAAATGGCATTTTTGTTTATATTGAACATACAATTGTTATACAAGATCCCATAGGTATCATACATTATTACGGGGTGGGGATTTGTTTCAAGCGAAGTTAATAAATACACCTGGAAGTATTGTAATTACTTTTATTCTTGTTCTTGTAAGTTGTGGGTGAACATGGTCGTTGTAGATTTCATACATGTACCGCAAGGTATCCCGGCTTCGTGACAGAGTTTTAAAGAATCTCACAATTAGTGTGTTTTAAAAGTTTACGCTACGTGGTGGGGGTGAGCTTGCATATATAGCGTCGCCTAGAGATAAGTCTGATTTTTGCGCTTACACTTGATCTTCGATTGTTTTTTGAGAAAAAGAAAAAGAAGAAAATTTACGTTATACCCCTCGAGATCGGTAAACTTTTCGTGAAAGTTTTGAAGTATGTAACTGAACAAAATAGAACAGACACACTATCTACCTGTTGATGCTTTTTAAGTGTACGTAATTGAAGATTAAAGATTTGAAATCCAGGTCAAGTGTGATTTTATATTAACGATGCAGTCGTTTTTTTCGTGTCTTTTATGTCTAACGACGCTCTTTGCCTTTTTCATAACGTCCGGGAATCTTAAAGTTGACTTTATAGAGCCTTCCGCGACGAACAATCTAGAAGAGAACGTAATTCTAGAAGTCGTTGATAAAACGAATTTGACCGTTTTCGAGCCGGTGTTTGTGGACGTTAATTTGAAAAATGTGTGCGATTCTGATTTTGACGCGGTATCAAAATCGAAAGTGGTTACCGACGAAACGGAAAGTGGACCCACGAAGGCGAGAAAGTGTATAAGAAATATAGAAAAATGCATCGAAGAAGGTATGTCCGACCATCTAACGATAATACGTTTTAATGCAATGATAATGTGATTTAACGTCTGCAGCTTTTTGCTGATGGTTGTCGAATATTGAGGTTACCGGCTAGCTAAATAAATGCCGCATTAATTATGTCATAAGAATGAGAATCGCTGTAAACTACTTATGTGTAATTTGTTTACAAATTCTCAAGTATTACAACTGTTTTAAAATTATTATACACAAACTGCCGTTTGTTGTATACACCGATGAATATTATAAATGCACAGATAGTTTGGTGCATAACACAACAACATGCGGTTACAACTGTAATTTAGGTTGCAATTAATAATTAACAGATAATTATCCCTTCTTTATTAGACCGAGAGACAAATGAACTTTCAGCATCTACGTGATAAATGTCAATAGCTATAAACTGCACTTAGATTATACTAATCGTAAACCAGAAATAAAAAAAATCTCGTAGGTGAGCAAGCGTGGTTAAAAAATTGTTCATAAATCTTGTTCAGTTTTTCCAAATCGTAAATAAGTGTTATTATTGAATTGTTGTTTACTTCTTTCAAAGTAATTTTTTAATTTTCGCGTAAAGGCAAAAAAAGAGGTGCAGAAACTGAAACAACAACAANTTAAATTTGAGTTTTTATAATAAATTCAAATCGAAAAACTATATTAGCTCTCTAACTTGAATAATAAATTATCTGATAAAGCAATAAAACTGTTATTAATTTGAAAAGTTCCAATTTGGAGGTACCGAATTGTTTTTGATCTAGCGTGTTAACAAAAATTTATATGCAATGTAAAATATTATTCTATGTAATTATGTGCCCTTAAATAAAGACTATACTCCATTATTATATTATTAAAATCCTTGATACTTAATTACATGCATTGATGATAAACTTAATATAACGTAATAATTTCTAGCATAAAAACTAGTTTTCTTAGGCCTAGCGCGCACTGCGCTTATTTAGTCGGAAAAATCTAACACAGGCTAGTAAATGCAAGTGCTCGCATATGCGACTAAATAATCGCTACGACTAGAAAATCGCAATTGGTCGTAATTTTCTTGCGGTCCGATTGTCGCGGATGTAGAATGAATCGTACGGACTAAATTGTTGCAACTCACTGTTGCAAAGAAAGAAGAAACATCAAGTAGTGTTTTGGATCTAATCTATTAATCTCTGATTTATGATAGGATTCAACCAGTATTGTTTCTTCTACTTCCTTTTAGTATTATTAGCATTTATTTGCAATAACAATGCCACAATACACATTGTTTCTGTGTCGCTCATATTGCAAATAATTAAAATGTTCGAGTATTTGGTCTCAAGTGCGCGCATCGGTTTTACTTCCTGCGACTGCGACTTTTCAGTCGCGGCGATTAAGTAACTGCAGTGTGCGCTAGGCCTTAAGCTTACCTACACATGCTCTGTTAGATTTTTTTAAAGTCCTTTGCATTACAATAACAATTTTTTATTCCATATTTTCTTGATATTTTACTAACACAGGTTTACTATTCAATTCGTTGAAGGAGTCCAGATTATAAATATTACATAATAAATAACCTTAACATAGGCGACAAAAATGTATTCCTTCACACCCATGTTATGAATTAATCATTATTTGACCGAAGATGAACATCCTGTGTTTGCTTTTTGCAACTCCACTCAGGACAAATGAATCATTTTAATAACAATTGAATATTTATATTATTTACACGCGACAAGCAAAAATAATTAGTATTTATTTTTATTTCTTTGTCCTGATATTTGAAAAGGAAGATAAAAAAATGATGAAATATTAATAGAAAACAAACTGTTTCTTTCTTTATTATGTTCGTAATAAATAGGTTATTAATCATTTTTGACCAGTTATCCTTATATGGATAAATGGATTATTGTTATCTATTACTGGTTAATGAAAATAAACTGTTTTGCGAAATTCTAATGATGAATTCTTTGAACAGAATTTTCATTTATTTACAATAAGACTTTATTGATAATTATTTTTTAATTTATTAATTCATTATTACTACCAAAAAAGACGGTGCAAGTTTTTATGTTGTCATTTCGACTGAAATTAATTTACACAGATCAAGAATAATTTAGTCAGTTGTGATAAATCATTTGTGTCTATAGTTTTGCATAATAATTAATTATTTATCGAAATTCGATACTTTTTAGTACATCCATTTACAATTTCATGAAAAACTACATATTTTAGCAATTATTAATGCGTTTCAAGCCAGAAATTAATTTTCAAGAAGACTCATATCGAATAAAAAGTTCTTTACAATGATCACGCATTGAATAGTATTATAAACCATTCCGGAAACAAAAATGATATAAAAAGCTAAAAAAGCGGATGAGGGAACGAATTAACTAATGTACCTGGTTTATAGCTGGATTACATTAGCAAATATAAAAAAATGATATTTAATTACTAAATAGCTTCATGTAAAAGTGCTGTAATATAGATATAATAGAAGTAAGAATAGGAATTATTTTTTATTGTTTATTTCCTTTCTCTTTTTACGAGAACGGCGTCTACTTCAAGGCCAAGCAATGATTTGCTTCGCACTATTGCATTGTAAAAGAGTTTAGGGCAGTGGTAAATTGCAACCTATAATATAAAATTAATATATGTATTAACATATTTTTAATTCGAATGTATTAAGAATTGATATAACAGTTAAGACGACATTAAAGAGAATTTAAATAAGCAACCCCGTTGGCAAAGGTAACATTCATGAATCCATTACTAGTAGGGGCTACTTAATGCGAAGAATTGCACCCCCTTCAATTAATAAAATAACTAAATGGTCACTGTGAGTCATCATGCGTTTTCTCAGTTAACATGCACTGAAAAAAATCTTAAATGACCGATGTCTCAGTTACGTTTAAAAAGTAAACAAGTTTACCTACTAATTTTAAAATATTGCAGCACCCCAGGCAACGTTCCAGAAACGGCGATTACTACTGTTTGTAGTTATTTATTAATATCGATGTTAACTAATTTTCTCAAATTGTCCCACAACATCATATCTTCGTCATATCCTAATCAAAAAATACTTCTAGATTGATCGAAGCAGCTTTTTCAAGTGAATCATTTTTCACTTGTGTACTTATTGAATAACGCTTGGTTTTTCCACATTTTCCAACGTTTGTCTTTGATATTTCAAGTTTTCTTCGAACAACGTACGGTCCAAAAAGGTTTTCCGTATTTTAATTTTTTTTTGTGATTTATAAATTTGTTCAGCTTTATAATTTACATATTTCCGTAGAACATTTGAACATCACCAACATCTGGAATTCTTTTAGAACCGTTAGGTAAAGGTTTCAGCAGCGTTTCTTCAGAATACCTAAAAAATTATTTGCTGAATTTATTACTCTATTAATCATTTTTTGATGTGAATTGAATATTATTTTCACTAACTGAAATATCGCAGAAATTCCAGCATGATTCAGCTTTTCATTTTTTAAGAAACAACTTTTGCTTACAATAAAATAGGTTGACTCAACAATTTTGCTTATTAATTATTAAAATACTTTTGATAGTAAAACTGTATTTTAAGAGAGCACTCAACAGGTTTTGCAACATTTTGTCAGTTTATATACTAATTCAACAACAAAATATTTCAGATTTTGATTTAAGTTGTGTTTTCAGAGAGTAATAAGAAATGTTAATAGAAGCCAATGAAGCATTGATTTGGGAGATTTTTTCAATATTTGACACTGATAAAGACCTCGAGATTAAAAATTAGATAACCTTAGTAGATGATGACGTAACAAAGTTCACTTCTACCGTATTTCATTTTACAATAAGCCCATTTCTTTAAAAGTTCGAGTAACTTCTTCAAGTAATTTTACGCTAATTTTATTTAAAATGTGCAACATACTGCCCAATAGATTTATTACAACGATTTACTTTCTCCGAAGAAAAAACTTTAAAAATGCTTTTATTTAAATTTAATCGTTACACTTATGCATATACATTGAGTTGAGAACATCAAACGCATTTATGAAGCAGCAAAACGGTTCATGTTAAAATTGAAAAACTGATAATATTACTTTTTAGAGTATACGTAGAAAGCTTGTTCAAAAAAGGACTAATTGTAAATGAAATCAGAAAGCGTGGATGTATGTGGATGCTTCTAAATTCGTCCATTATTATTTATACATATACTAGAATAAGTAACCAATAATTACTGTAGTAATCTGTAGTAGCTAACAGGACTAAAACACACTTATTAAAAGTTTCAACAAAGTTTTACAAAAGTCTACTTATATAAAAGTATGAAGTGTTTCAGTTGACCCAATTGCTTAAAATTTAATTCTTACCAATATAAGGAAACTCTCTTGAGCCACTTGTTATCAAAACATTTTAAGATGTTTTTAATTTCAATTCTAGTTCTTAGTACAATAATTTGGTTTTTGAAACAGATATATTATTTCATGATGTAATTGTTGCTAGTATCTAAGGTGGTAGTAATATTTGAGATACTATTTATCATTTTTCGTTGTTAATAATTAAAATATCTCATAGTAAATTTTCTTCCTAAGAAATAAGGACTCGATTACATTCGAAAAGAAAATCTGTTGCAGAAATCGCCGATAATATTAATTTATGCATGAGGTTTCCCTTTAAAGTTTGGACAATGGAACGCGATTTCGATGTTTTTGTATCTCATCAGCACGACGTAGACAGTTCTGACAACACTAATCAATTTACTTGCAGTCTTAAAACAGCGTTTAGCATCCGTAGAAATTGTCATTAATCGTAACTTCGTTGATGTTTGACAAGGTTCTTTTACGGTCAAGGTCCTTTCATGATTAAGGATATTGACTTGTCAAATATTATGCATAATAATTGTTTTAAATGTTCCCTTCAACATAAGAAGTTTCCATAAAAATAGATACAAATGAGCACGACGGGGTTAACTTCCCCTGTGGAGTAAATTAAAAACATTTTTTCGTTATTTTTTGCTATTTTTTGGAAAGTTGTCTAACATAATGATTTAACTGAATTTGTATTTGAAATTTCAAAAGATTAAACGCTTATAACAGCGCGATAATTTACGTTCACCCTAATGGTAATACTCCTACATGCGCAGATGGTGGAAAGGCAATTCTAATGTTCCAAAAAAATTAAATATTCATAACCGTTGATTCTAATTATGGCAGGCTTTAGTTATTGGTGACACGATTTTGTAACGGTAATAATATTATTATGGCAATTACTTTAATTACTTAGTTCGAATATAACAAAAAGAAAATTGTATGCACCAAAGGTTAGTTTAAGTAGGTGCACTTATGCCAAATTATTAATTTCACCTGGTCGTGTTGAAATTTATTTCAATGGTGTGGTTGGCAGGTTGGAATGGTTTTCTTATTCATGGCCATGGTTTGAAAGTAAATTTACGTTTAATAAAGTTTTTATCAGAAATATAACACTAGAGATATGTACATTAAAATTTATGTGACTTCAACATGGTCAAAAGGAGATTAGTTGAAATAATCCTGTAATAAAAATATACAAAATGGTACAATCTCACGCGAAACAAAACTTTGGTTTATCTTAATCTTTTTCAGAATGGTGACATAGTTCAAATAAGTTTAAAAGGATCCATCAAGATAAATTTCGTCAATTTTTGACCCTGTTGTGATAATTGGTCCAATTAAAGTAACTTATAATGGGTAGAACTGGGTACTACAATAAATTTTGAAATAAGAATACTTTGCAGTTTTTGCTGACATTGAAAGTGCTTTTACTTTTTTTCTACACCAAATAACCGAAATAGAGACGCTGGTCAATCCTAGGTTGCCCTGGATTTGCCTAATAAAGTTGTTGACAGATAATTCCGCGGAAAACCAACCTTTTTGACTACAACTTGAAGTACTCCATGCAATTTTCCGGATATTGGAGACGTTACTTGGTTACTCTTCCTTTTATTTTTACTATATCCATATACATTATTTTTCGGGTGTCTTACATATCCTTGTTCTTATTTTAAAATGTTTAACTTTTCGTTTTTTACCACTTTTTTAAACTTTAGAACCCATTCTACTATCTAGATGTGGATTAATCCAAAATATAAATCGTAAAAGATTAAATTTATTATTTTGAACGTTTTGAAGCTGTATTTGACACTGTTACTTAAACATAAGTTTGTATAAACTTTTGTGCAATCGGGAAATTATGTCAGTTAGTAACCACAAATATTTTACAAATGTTCAAGTGTAAACACATTTGCAATAGAAACAATTGCACTTGTAGTTATGTCTACTTATGAAATGTCTGCATTTTAATAGCAAAGATCCACCCATTACATATTGCAGATTTGCATGCGTGTCAGATAATAATCAAGATCGTCCCTATACTACTGACAGTACAATAAAACTTGTAAAATTATCAAAATGTAGTAATGCTACTTGTAATAAGGACTTTTTGTCACTTATTAATATTACATAAACGTATTCTCATTTTTTCATTAGTCAATTGTATAATTTTGTTTAAATAATCTTTCTTTTTTTAACGCCGATGTTTTAAACCAATGATCCACTTTCATTACCTAATCTATGCATTCATATACACTAAAAAAAGTTTGATTACAATATATCAATTTTTAACAAAATCATCTGTTGAATATATAACAGCAGTGAAAGTCAAAAGATTAAATTGCATCAGTATTTTTGTACTGTTTCTTTTTGGTTTATCTTTTTAACTACGTGTACTCACTTCCTTAATTTTGAAGAGTTTGAATATATTTGCATCTTTATTGATCGTCAGGAGATAATTAATTCATTTTTCTATTCGACTATTCGTTTGTCATGTGTGCTAGTATATGCGGATGCAGTGATATTTCACATTAATAGTAGCATTAATTGTCAACACGTGTCTCTGGTATATCGACAGAAAAAATTTTATCAACTAAAAAACATGGTGGATTTTCCAATAGGACCTGCCAATGTATAAATAATAATTTATTATAATTAAATATTGCACCCACTGGGAAAGACCTTTATGCATGGTCGTAAAAATAAAGAACGTGATAGTTAATGTTATTTTATTTTCAAAAACAATTAAGTAGAAACTGAAGTATAATTCGAAAAAATTATTTTGATGTGTATCTAAACATTAATACTTTATTATAATCTCCATTTCTTGTATAATTTTAAACATGAGGACAATTTTTAAAAAACCACACCGATGTTTCAACTATAATAAAAATTTATGAACTTCAAAAACCTACATTGAAGAAACCTTATATCCAAAAGGAAACGTCGATGTGGTGTTTTTAAAAATTAAAGAAACTTTAATCCTTGCTAGATTTAATTTTCTACACAACTAATACCTTATTGTTAGACAGTAGATCTTAGTTAGAATTATTATATTGGTATACATATAAAACCAATATCTGTTTTATATTTCAGATGTTAGTTACACTGTTGCTTTAGCCCATATGAGCAAACGCCTGTTTACTTCTATACCACCGCTGGACTTCACTTCTGTTAAAGGAATCAGCAACAGTTGTAAATATCAAAATCGTCTTTATCTTCAGGCCCTAAAACGATATGAATTATGGGCACTTAGTAGTAAGTAGATAAGTCATTTAGTTCAGTTTCACAAACCTCGATTTGATCTTTTTCAACTTTATTGATATATCGTATTTTCTTACTAGATAAACATTTTTCTTCGGTTTCAGGATTACATTAACATTTAATATTCTTATTGAAAAAAATCTTAATTTGCTTATCGTTAGATTAAAACCTCGTTATAGGATTCTGAGTAATTTCGCTGACACGTAGAGGAACTAGCAAAAATCTGGTATTAAATTATATTTAAAATAAAAAATCCCATGTATGATTTATGGTGTTGCCTCAGACAGAGGATTATGTAAATTATAGATACATAATCGTTCGTAATAAAAATAAAAAATTAGACAGGATACAGGCTTTATTCATTTATTTTCAGGTTCAAAGTTTTTTCGTGTCTGATCATGTTTCCTTTATTATGAACAGTTATAGTAGTTTCATGTTATTGCACACATCGTATTTCTTTCGTGAAAATACGTGCTATCTTAAACAGTAATTTTATGTTAATGTTTAAAGAATGAATTAATTAGCATCACCAACTGCCTCTAATGAACTTACGGTGAAAGTTGTTGACCTTGACCTCACGATTTAAGCACGCGGAAGAAGTTCAACACCCATCAAAAGTATAATACAATTTTTCGGAAATGCTTAGATGCTAATGATGAACTAAAATTATTTTTTAACGCCATAAAAATCTTAAAAATTAGAAATATCAAGATCTGCTACTATTTCGTCATACGTATAATGGCAGACACGTAGGTTAATATTATTTTCATTTTTTGTTTTGATAAATAATCCTTTTGAAACTGATTTCAAACCTTGAAGACTATGACTCACTTATATCAATCGTAACTGTAGATATATATATGTTAGAAAGGATAAATAAAATGTAAAATACTGCATAAGTTTCCACGTATTTATCTATCATTGATTTTACTTTTACTTTTACATGTAACAATGAAATTTAAAAAAACAGAATAAGAAAATGAAGCAGGGAACAATAGAATATTCACAATAATTTTTGCGTATTATGACACAAATTAATAATAATCATAGGTTCATTTAGTATTGTCCTCTTCATCCTATTAGCAAAATTAAGTTATTTTTCTACAAGAAAACTGTAAGGTCAATTTTTCGCTGCTTTTATCTTAAATTTCTAATTTTCATTATTTCAAGAAGAACAAGTAAGTGTTGTTAATATAAAGTTAATAAACTAACTTTCACATACTGTAATGTAACATAGGTACATAAACATTTTTGAGCATGATTCGTTAACCTGTCACATTACAATTATCTTCTTTAACATCTACAAGGGAAATGTCAAGGAGAATTTTAATTTCGCTACAACAATGATTTAGCAATTTGTTTTGCCTTTATCAACATGTTCTTCTCCACCGATGTATTAATCTAATGGCGTTCAATTAATTTGTATTACAGTGTACGATTCTTCGGCAAAGATTCCATCGGGAATTCTTAGTGGAAATATAAATCAGCTTGGAGACTTTGATGAATGTTTAAATGCCGTTTCTGAAAAATGGAACATCGAGGGACAATATTGCCTGGCAAGTCTTCAAGTTCAAGAACCAACGACCCGATATTTGCATGCCATTTATAGCCTAGTCCATTCCTATTCGCCTTTTAAAAGCAAACTTCGAGATGTGAGTAAAATATTCGTTTAATTCTTTAGAAAAACTATTAAATTTTAGAGAAACAACCTTTTTATAAATTATAAAATGTTAACTGATCACCTAAAAGCAACGATAAATTATTTTTTTAATAGCCTGGTCATCGGGTACCGAGGTATTCTAGCATTAGCTGGGCATTGTGCGTTCCTAAATCCTGTTCTGCAAGCGATGTGTCGCTAGGATTAAAAAATACGGTTGATGAAATCTTTAACAATACAGGATTGACAATTCAGTTGGACGTTGATCCGTCCATGTGTCAAAGTAAACCGAAAGAGCCCTTACCATTTTCAACAAAACTTGTAGGGTACGAATATATTTTATTTTTAAAGACTAACATATTTGTCACTAATTTTTAAAAAGAAAATCAAAACAGCAGCAAATTTCTGAACGATCTGCAGTCGTTTAAATTAAGAAAATAGTTTTATCGTAATTATTTTATTGAAGCAAGCAAATCTATTCACAATGGTATATCTAGTGATATCACTATTTTATTGTTAGAATGATAATTTAAAATTCAAATGTCTTTCATGCTCTTTCAGATGCCTATTTCTAACAGTAGTTGCCCTTGGTATAGTTGGTACCATATTCGATTACCTCGACATACCAGGAACCAGTAAGTGAATACGGACATACATATTATAATGTTTTACCCTTTTTTCTATTACAAAAGGTCATCAATTCTGCTATTATTTCCATATAAAATACATATTATACGTATTGCTAACTAACCAAATTAAGATCTAAGCTAATTAATCCTTTTGTTTGATGGACAATTAATTAATTGTGTTTATTGTAAAATAAAAATGTACTTTGTAGTTCCGTGCACATTGCAATACACTTAAGGATGTTTGGGAGGTACAATCGGAGACAAGAGTACATAAAATTAGAAATTTGTGATTAATTAAGTTTTGCAGCATATCATGGGATAAATAAATACTATCTACACTAAAAAAAAAGTATACGGTATATAAGAAATAGCGAATAATATGGAAAATTTTTAACTGACTTTGGCAGTGAATATGCCTTGATTTCAACTTCGAAACAAAAAAATATTTAGTTTCAATCTCTATTAATAACGAGCGTAAAACTTTTTAATATGTTTAAATAATAATTAAAACTTTAAAATTGCATTTATTTCAGACAATTATAAATATTATCATTATATTATCAAGTAAAAACGAGATTTTCAGCTAATTTTTCATTTTTTCCTCGATAACCATTTAGTGAATTTGAATAACCTTACGCTAAAGTGATTCTCCAGAGTTCAAGTTACTTATTATAAAAGTTTGAAATTTCTGGTAGCTTTTTTTCTGTTAATAAAAATAAATTTAATCTGTTCGGTTAACGAATCTCCATAAAATGACGTGTAAAATTACAATTTTTTAAAATTTCAATAACTTTTTAACGGTTTAGTGAATCGATTTGTAATTTTTACAGGAGTTTTAGAATTGAATAGCATTTTGACATACATACCTCCCAAACATCCTTAAGAATTTTTGTTAAGTTTTCAAATTACACAAACCGATTTAGGATTTATAGAATGTTATGATATTTTAGGTGAATGGTTGTTATGTTTTTCTTTTCGGAAAAATGTAAAGACGCTTTTTTCAACAAAAAGACCCTCAAATGACATAGAAGCAATTCATGGAGTCAGATTTCTGAATGCACTTTGCCTTATAATGGCCCACAAAGCCTTGGCTTTGTTCTTTGTTCCGTATATGAATCGGACAGAAATGAGTGAGGTAAGTGAGCATTACATAACGAAAAATGTAAAAATGTGACATTGTCAAAGTGAATTAATTCAATAGTGATTGAATCCTAATACTAATAAAGTGAAGCGTCAAGTTCAATGAGATTTATGACAATGAAAAGATGAATGTTGCAAAAAACTCGAATTCTAAGAAATTTATTGAATGCAATGTAACCTTCTAACAGAAGTTTTTTTTTCTAACAACTTTTTTAAACATTATTAATATGTGTTAGATGCATTAAAAAGCGGAAAATATTTAATACTACAAACATATCGTTTTTATGCGTAAAAAGACTTTCTATTTCGTATCTAAACGAACGTTACGTCATTTTTTTTTTAATTACAGCGAACAGGAAAAATAAGACAAATTAAACTTTTATTTTGACTCTCCAGTATTAAGTGTTATTAATAAATAAGTCAACAACATTTTAATTATTTTTTACCCATTCTACATGTTTTAAATAAAAAAATACCATATAGTTAGGTACATTTTATATACGGATTTTCGGACGCTGGAGCGTCACACTGACTAACAGGAGATCATAACTTTCTATAGCGTTGCGCTTACGAATAGTAGGTTCACGCATCTTCTAACTTTAGTAGGTAGTTAAGTGGATGCAGAACCCATTTAACATATTTCTCTCACTGATTATTTTGGCAAAAATATCATACTACAATTAGGAAATATGCGAATGCTGTTAATTTTACCAATGTGCGAATTCAGTAGACTCCCGAACAGCGAAGAAAGAACGTACGTTGCTGTATTGTGCAGTTACAGCGCACGATTGGGGAAGATTTCCCCATTTTGTATTAGGAGAACATAGGCTATAGAATGCTTACTATTGTAAAAGTCTTGACAACTCGGCAATTTGAATAAAATTCATTACAGGTTTCTGTCAAGAAATTACAGTTTCGATCTAGAAATCTGTATACAGGATAACAGAAAGTTGTAACAAAAGAGTACGCTCCTTTATGGATACATTTTACAGTTTTCCTTAGTATATTCATTAGTATTTTCTTCTACAGGGTGTGTTCAAATTTGTTTTGTTAAAAGTAACTTTAATACGTAGACTATTTATCTTGGATATCCTGACAGTGAAATTTATTTTTTTTTCAATGTTATAATTTTTTGACAGTCACCCTGAAGAAAAAAAACTATTAAATATATTAACTTTTATTTTAATTTCGTAATTAAAATAGTTACGATTTAATACGTACTGTTTTACTTCTATAAATCCTTTTAAATGCAATTAAAAATCTACGATATTATTATGTATAAACCTACAACTGTTAATTATTTCCTAAATTTTTATTTTATTAGTATGGGTCCTTTTCAGATTGTTGGTAGTTTATTATTATTATTTTAGATACTGGGTAAGCCATGGTCAGTCTTCGGCAGGGCAGCCAGTTTGTATACCGATCCTTTCATAATGATGTCAGGAACTTTAACGGCCTACAGTTTCATAAGTAAACTCAAAAAGTCTGAGAAAATTAATATAGTAAACGAATACGTCTCCCGAATAATGCGTATATTGCCTACATTGGGAGCTTTGATTCTCTTTTGTACCTTCTTATTACCATTTTTGAGCAATGGTCCCTATTGGAACCAAGTCGTTACTCATCACTCAGACATTTGCAAACAACATTGGTGGAGAAATTTGCTTTTTATTCACAATTATTTTGGTTTCGAAAATATGGTAATAAATTCGTTGGAGAATCCTTACCTGTGTTCCCTATACGTTTATTGTTTAAAATTTTAGTGTTTGACCCATACGCACCATACAGGAATAGACACCCAGCTATTCTTTTTATCGCCGTTCCTTGTATTAATGATATGGAAATGGCCAAGAAGAGGAAGTCTGGGACTCATTGCTATTGCTATTATTTCCACTATAATGAGATTTTTAGCCACTTATACCAAAAATTTGTCTAATTACATTCATTATGGTACTTCGTAAGTAGTTAAAGGACGTTTTTTTGGTAAATGGCACTTAATCCAAAATTTTATTTATTACAGCATACAACAGCTGTTTAGGACAGCAGACTATATGTACATTATTCCTGCACACAGATTGACAGTTTATGTGATGGGAATATTTCTGGGATATATGTTACACACGTGTCAGGGAATTAAACTAAATAAGGTTTGTGGCAATATTGTTTTACAATTTATATTTATTTATAAATTATTACTGATACAAAAAGATAGAATAACTATTTTATATGGCGTATATATACAGGGTGTAATAGAAATAAGTGCCGAGCTTTGGGGGATGTAAACTAGATGCAATAAACAATCGTTCAGCAGCGTGGTTAAAGCAATTTACAATCCGAAGCCGGTCCTGTGCGTGAAAAAATACGATAAAAACTGTGCGGTTACGTGGATCCAGATTGTAAAAGTTACCGATTATCGAACGTCTAAGATAAACATAAACAAATTAGTACTACACTACCCTTAAATGTAGGAATCATATCACAAGGTTATGCCGTACTAAACGCCATTGTAATAATAGTGAGTGTTTTACTGACCTATTTGCGAATGAGCGATTGATAACGACAAAAGGACAAATAACTTTTACAGGCCATTAGCAAAAAAGTACAAAGGAAATACAACACCGATGCTGCTAATTCCCAGCTGATTGAACACGACGTTGCGTTGTCGTATTGATATACCAGGGATGGAATTAAATTTACCTGTACTTTCAACTGCGTTTTTCTCAAAAACGGTGATCTGTCGAACATACAAATATTTATTTAAATTTCATGTTTTATAGTATTTTATTACCTCCTGCAAACTCGGCACTTATTTCTGTTACACCCTTTATAACATGAATTATGTATGTATATGTATTTAAATTGTATAATTTGGTGGATGCGCCGGGAGAAAAAGGAAGACTACACATTGTTCATAATTACCAGTCCGAAGACTGATTCGACACTAACCTTCGCATTTCCCGAAAACTCTATCATCCCATATACGTATCTATTTACGAAAACTTGTAATCTAAAGTCTGTATTTTCTAAACTCGCGACTGAGACAATAAAACTTTCAAGAAATTTATTATCTTCTTTAGTCGAATAATGGATATCGACACCCATAAAAGGGACGGTCGGAAGTCTATCTTGTGCCATTGCTAGGACACTATTATCTTTATTGTTACCTGCCTTTGCAGTGTGGAAAACACCGTTGTTAAAGCTTTCAAACTATTTTGAGTTTTGTATGTACAAATACAAAACATACTCCATTTGAATAATATCATAATAGGCAATTCCAGCTAGGCGTAGATAAGATAAGGCGGTTACATGGTGGCTGCTCCCCTTTACTTCTGTTTCTGCATCTAATATGTCTTTAACTAGCCCTTCAAGTGTCTATCTCTCCTTTCTTATTCTGGTAGTTTCGTTATCATTCTTAGAACATATCGAAACCTTTTTCTTTTTTGCCGCACCCACCGTCCAAACATTATCATCGTTAGTCCTAAGACTTGTTTGGGCACGCACCCTCACTCTTTCCTATCAATTAATCTGAGATATCTCACATCCTTAATTATTTATGAACAATAAACTAAGCTAGGTTTACCTCTACTCTGCAGTTTTATATCGTAAATAACGAAAATAATACATTTTTTATTATGTTGTATGATTTTCACACAATTACAATTGCAGAAGAGTTTTTAATACTTACTAAGCCTTATAGGTTAATTTGGAAAACTGTACAGATCTACAAGGATTGCCTTAAAGAGGGCTTTTTATAAATATATTATCTACCGTTTCGATTTTAATTGTACGTTCTGAATATGAAATTTTTATATTCAAATTTTCTTGCAGTTTCATTTGTGGATAGGTCACGTAGTCGCTTTGCTATTCTTTGTGATATCCCTTGCTGGTCCTTCGTTTATGGGTCATTTTCAATATGTTTATAATCCACTCGATGCAGCTTGGTATGCTGCCATAGTTCCAATTTTCTGGTGTTTATCATTCGCCTGGATAATATTTACTCATCAAATGGGTTACAAAAGTACGTTAAAAAAAGTGTAATAATATTCTTATTAAGTTTAATTTTTGTTTTATTATTAAAGGTTTAGCTGGCGATGTATTATCATGGAGGGGATTTTTATTTACCACACGCATTTCTTACACAGTTTATCTAACTCAATTTCCAGTTTTCTTCTTTAATGTAGGAGTAACAAGACATAGTGATTACTATGGATTCTTTTTAAAAAATGTAAGTACCTATATTATATATGTGACGATAACATACAGGGTGAACTAATTAAGTTCTACTCTTATGCGAACTTGGTGAAATTTAGAGTCTGGGTTATGGAATTAAGGGTTCAAAACGCTTGGGTTATATGTGCGGGGTTTGTAGGGTTTGAAATACATATTTGGGGTTCAATACGAAATGGAAAAACAATTAAGTAGTATAAATAAAGCATTTCTATGATCAAAATTACTTTAATCGATCCATCTCTACATGAAAGTATTCTTATTTATTAGATATGTAGATATAGTGTCTTCTCTTGGCTTGCATTTTTAATTTTCTTATTATTTGTAGATCAATATAAAAGAAACGTTTTGGATAATTCTTTTATCAACAATACTGACGTTACTTATAGAGATGCCATTCAACAACATTAGGAATATAGTATTTAGCAAACAGAGAACAAAACTGTCGCTAGAAACCAAAAAAACTGAATGAATGAAAAACATTGTGATCCTAGCTTAAGCTTTAAGAATGAATTAGTTGTGATAGTTTTATAATTTATTTTTTTTTTATTTTGTAGATATAGATAAGTACGCTTGCGTATGTATGCTTTAATAGGTATACAGTTTATTTTTAATGGTTATTTCATACACATTAATATTTATTGTATAATTAACTGCAGACATGTATGTATTGTAAACGAAAAATTTTCAAGTATCCTTGTTAGTTGTGTGGAATAAATAATTTTCATATTCCCATTGCTTCCCTTACTTTTGTAATTATACAAAATCAAAGCCAATAAGGCAAGAAGTTTTTAAACACCACATCGATATTTCTCATTTGTTATAAGGATTTTTTAAGGTAAGTTTTTAAGATCAATATTATATACCCATAGTTCACCTCATCCTCAAATTATCTATACTCTGCATACATATCAACACTGAATATCTACCTTGAAAAAGATTTACATCCATGGCGAAACATTTAACTGTAATTTTCTTGTTTTCACACAATTAAATAATTTTCAATTTACGTGAAACCAAACAAAATGTTCTTAAGAGAATATAATTGTGCTTTATTTTGTAAATTTGATTGATAATAGTTAAAATATTGTTTAAATTTCATAAATGCTCATTTGTAGTGCTGCCGAAGGACAAGATAATTATCCAAAATATCATTCTATTACCAAAAAATAATGAAAATTCCAATTTTGTCTTGTTGTCCCTACTCTAACTGTAAATAAATTAATTTGCAAATATGAAAATGAAAATAATAAACAATTTACGATCAATAACTGATAACGTTAAAAAAAATAACTCGCTTTTTAAAAACATTTAGGGCAAAATTATCCTTTTAACTTTGTCTTTTTCTCAATAATAATAATAATATAATGACTGATGTAGGATTGGACCCCCGGACAATCATAACATGGACCCATCAGAGGTCCATGGACTCCACGTTTAGCAGCCCTGATCTTAAGTATCAATATTTTGAATATAATTAATAAGTACCTATTAAAATATATAAACATGAATTAACTATTATATATTAGGGATATTATATTATAAGCAAAAACCAAAGCAGGAAATTGTGCCCTACTGAGCGACTTAACCGCGGAAAAAATCTCTGTGGGGGGAGGGGGAATTATCACCACAAAAAATACAGTTCTAAAGATATTTTTAATATGCGTTTATATTAATATTTTCATATATGTGAAATCTATAGCTAACACATCTTATTGTGCGTAAACGTTCCCCCTTCCCCATAATGCTCTACAATCCGATATTTTTCCTGACTACAGTGCGCAATCGTCGTCCCTTGGAGATTAGGTTCAGTCCACAGTTAGACTGTAGAAAAACACCCTTTTTAATTCCCCTTTCACTTGCTGAACGTTGAAGAAATAGACAATAGAATCCGCTTATAATGAATTCGAAGGGAAATGACAAACACGTCATACTAATCGGGTGTCATACAAAGCGTAGTCTTAGAAAATAAAAAAATTTCTAGTTTGGTTAGTTATTTAGTTTAATAGAGAGAAAAACTATAAATTGTATATATTTATTAACAGAAAAAGAAAAAGAACGATGAATTGTAAAATCAATATACATAAGAAGGGTCAGAAAAATGAGCGAAAATGTTATTATTGATCATTTGGGTCACTATAGCCGGATATGATTTCTTGAGAATCAGTCATAATAAACGGTATGTCATTTTAAACGGACTCATTATATCCAAACTTTCCTAAAAATAATTTAATATGAAAACCAAACTTAATACTGCAATTATTTCATATTAAGCGGTTGGTTAATATAGGCGGAGGTCTTAACAACATAAGTTTCTCAATTTGATCTTGATCTTGATCTTAATTTCATACTGTTTTTGATATTGTCTTGATTTTGAAGACAAGACATAACAAGTTCGATATATTCTTGACTTTTGCGTAAACTGGACTGTAGAATCTGCTATTCAAATTGCAAAAAGTCCGGTATGCATGAGCATGTGTGAGAAAGAAAAAGGGTTAGCTTACTTCCTGTATGTCCTTTTTATTTTTAAGTTTTTATCGTATAACACTCAAAGTTATAAGCAGTTCAAAACTCAATCAATTACGTAGAATGTAATAGTAAATAATCTGATTGTGAATAAACATAAAATTGCACAGAAAGGCCTAGGCAAGCCTTATGTGAATAATAAAAAGTATACTTATAAAACACTTCAGGTTACATATGAATATATTTAAAACTATCTAGTTTTCTTATGGCCCAGTGGAAGAATGCCAGGATAGTGAAAGAAAATGATAGAGGAACAAATCCAGCTTTGAGCCATTCCAAAACCCTAAAAAACAATAATAAATACTTCAAGCAATATTAAAAATTCTATAAGAGCACTTTTATTATGTTTTCTTTAAACAATATTTTACACCTGCACTATTTTAAATTGAATTGTCTTTATCCTGACTACTGAAAAAACAAACTATCTATAATTGAATTTTCAATTGCTTTGGTTTACTCGACTTAAATGCTTAGTTAAATATCAAAATTGTAAAGGTATATTTCACATAATCTAATTAACATCTAATTATTACCGCTGAGGCAACTTTTATGTAAAAGTCGCGTAGAAGAGGTTGCATAAACAGGTGCTTCTTTGTTGTAATTAATACGAATTAATGTTAAATTAATGATTTATTGTTAAGGTGGCTTGGACTTCAAAATCAGTGTATTTTATAATTATTAATAAACGAGTGTCAATTCAAACCGTCTTGCCCGAGTCTTGCTACACTATGAAAATGTTATACCTATTGCATTTTAAGTTAAAAAATATTATTAATTGTATACTTTATTAAGTTTTTATTATGTCAAACATCAAATACCGATTTGGTTTGTAGATGCGCTTCGGTTTTCTTATTATTTTTACATCATGTAAGTAGGTATATGTCGTTTTTTGTTTGTTTGTTCATAAACGGCAAAAAAGGTCCATCAAGTACCGAGGTAACGAGAAGGGACGAGGTCACATGATAAACAACGTTTTTAAAATCGAAGTGATTCGAGTAATGTACGTCGAGGAGAGTGGTCGTGTTTACGCAGAACATTTACCGATGAACTTAAAATTGTGTTTTAAATTTTTAATAAATATAGACTTTCGTTATATGATTTCCTTTGTTAATGCGGGAATAGCGAGATATTAAATTGTAGTTCTGGGAACCGCGATCCTGTTGTTGGTAAGTTTAATAATAACTTTATAAATTACAAACATATAATATTATATTCGTGATTTGTGAATTCCCTTTCAATTTACTTGAAATTAATTTATAGTACTAATAGGTTAATAAAAGAATGATACAGTTACGAGAACTAAATCGCCTAGGACACTTTTATTAAATAAACATAATTTAGTAAAAATTTACAAATTACTACTTGCAAAATTTGCCATTATTGATTAATTATAAGATCTTTGTTAAATCTTTGCGTTAGATTTAAATATTACGAATAAATGGCATATGTAGGTACCTATGATTAGACTAATGCCTTCGTTAAGTTTGCATAAATATGACCCTCTATCAAGTATACGTTTTTTAAATAGGTGCAGAATTCTCTATATTGAAGGCCTTACAATTTATTTTATCGTAAATAATAACCAGAACTGTAAAATGCCTTATACTGCACTGTTTGTTAGGTATAAACTGGCAGAATCTATTTTTAGCGATGAGCTCAGGAAAAAAAGCTTGTGTAAGTACCACGGTACCTTTTTTCTTTATGCATCGTTTGTTGAAACTTTGGTGGACGATGCATAAGATTATTATGAAATACGGTTTTAAGACTTTTAATATTTTGAAAAGCTTTGGTTGTTTATCCTGATATTAGAATTTTTAAAAGTGGAATTAGAATGAAAGTAAACCCGTTGTCTTTACTTTTCAAAACTTTTAATATACTGAAAGAAGCAGGTGCTATATGTATTTAATGTCTTTTTCTATTATTTTATTTTGACAAATTTCGGAAATAACTCGAAAGAAATATATATAATACAGGGATGTTGATTCCGCTCCTTTGAAGGAAATATTTAAAAATATATTTTGATGTGAGATATTGTTTACGACACGTTTATTAGGTAGATATCTGATATTGTCTAATATTCGAAATTCTTACCCATACGAAAAATCGTAAATTAAGAATGGTTCAGGTGTTGGTATGATTCCACTTGCAAAAATAATTGCAGGCTTTAAAGGCTTATCATCCGGATCAGTTTTGCTGTGCTCTATTATATGAACAATTTCTTGTCCTTGGATTACCTGAAAAATTTCGGCATAGGCATATAAACAAACGATGTTTATATTTTATTGATTAGTGTTTTAATCCCTCTTGGTTAGTATTTAATAGGTATTTCAAGTTTCCAGTAGTTTTTATACTGACCGTTTAGCATTTTTAAACTCAGCATTTTGAGTTATTAAGTTATATTGACAGAAAATGGATTTAAATATTGAATATTTAATTTGTTACTTAAACAAATAGGTAAAACCATTGAGAAGCAGTACCAATATTAGTAACCTCATGTTTAAAACACCTCTCTTGTTTGTTTTGTCAGCGAAAATTTACAGAGAAAAAAGAGGAAAGGCACTAGGGGGTTATCCATTAATCAACTTTGTTATTCCGCCCTCCCTCCCCCCTAGTCTAGTCCTGGTAATACTTTAGAAATCGCGTGTTCAACGAAAAAATAAATACTCGTGGTATCTCATTACACCCTCCTCCTTGTGATATTTCTTTGTTTTTCCGAAAAAACCCCTCCCTTCTATCGTAATTAATGGGCGATCTCTAAGTTCTGTTAGTATTTTATGTGTTGGACAAAGTACGTATGTAGAAAAGCTAAGGGGGTTACTGAATTATATATAAAAAAAAATATGAGTGCTGTCAGCACAGGGCAAAGTTGCATTACGTAAATGAAAGTTAGTATCAGCAATTTCTTATGCTGAAGTGTACAGTGTGTAATGTACTTTAAATTTTAATCATTGATTACTATTACATCTATTAAAAAAACCATAATGGCCGACATCAGTGACAATGCGACAACAAATGAAAAAGAATGATGGCCGACAACAGCAACAATTAGAAAAGAATGATGGCCGACAACAGCAACAATTGAAAAAGAATGATGGCCGACAACAGCAACAATTAGAAAAGAATGATGGCCGACACTACGTCATAACATTGTTCATAAAAGTGAATTTCGACCACTCGAAGCAATGGTTCGAGTTTCGAGTTCGCAGTGACTGATAGGGGGTAAGGACTAGTGATATTTAATATTTACATTTAAGACGGTTTTCGAGCATGTTTAAAGTAGATACATATAGTTAATTTAGAAAAAGGTCGTCTGAATTTGCAAAAGTCGCAAATTATAATTTGTAGAAAACTTTGCATGAATTGTGAGTCTTAATTTCATTGATGAAATTTTTTAAAAGTTTCCAAACAATAGAAATTTTTGTGTTTCTACGATTAAAAATCAAAATAATTTAAAGAATATAAATATCGTAGATTACAAAATGTTGATTTACATTTGATACTTGATACAAAATGTGTTGAATGATTTTGATTCTAAAATGTTCTCACTTACTTTTCCAAAAACTGTGTATTTACCATCCAACCAAGTTGTAGGGACTGTTGTTATAAAGAATTGACAACCATTTGTATTAGGGCCTTCAATCAGGAAATAAATTAATTGTATTTGTATATACCAGCATCTTAACAAGCTCTGTTACATATTTTCTTGAAATTTTTTTAATGTCATTTCGTTCATGTTTTGAGAAAATAAAAATATGCATACCTGTGTTGGCCATGCTAACAAAACCTGCTGATCTATGACTTAGATCAAAATTTTCGTCGGGATAATACGATCCATAAATACTAATCGACCCTGATCCGTTATTGTGAATAATATCACCCCCTATAAAAATGAATATTTTATTTAGGTTTTAGATTTTATGATTTATTAATAGGTTCTCATACCTTGTATGATGAATTTCTGAATTACCTTGAAGAACTTGGTTCCAGCATAACTTTTCCCATTAATTCCTTCGGTAGCAATCACCTTAAAATTTTCTACAGTTTTTGGAGCTATGTCCCCGAATAGTCCGATAACTATTCTTCCAAGTTTCTTTTCGTCATTTTTGATATCGAAATATACTTGATCGGTTACTTTGTATTCTCCTGCCTGATAAACAAAGAACTTCAATTAAAAACACTCTTTAAAAAAAAAACTAAAAAATATAAAATAGTCAGTTCTTTAACAACAGAAATAGACTAATTTTATCGTTACTTTTATCAAATTTTTCGGTTTTGCAAATCGTTGCCAAATTTTGCTTTAGATATTATTTATGGACAAAGAAGCTTACCTTAACGTATTGGATAAAAAGTAGCAAAACGCCAAACAGATGGACAGTATTCATTTCTGATACACGTAATGAACTTTTTGAGTAAAAACACGTCCATATATCACAGTGCTTCGACACAATCTGGTGCATTGTTCGGGAACATAATTGAATTAGTGCGTTCAATAAGTTCACTTGTTAGGGTGCTTTTATACGTTTCGAATATCTGATCAAATAAGATTTCTGTAAAATAAAATAAATTGGTTTATTTCAATAAAATTAGTAGATAGATTTACATACATCTGATGGTATTTTAAGTCAGTTACTTTCAATAATGTGACTACTTACGTAAATCATGTACTTGCATGGCGTTTATAAAAAAATCCGGAAGAACGTTAGCTTTTTAATGTAGAAACATGGGGGTCGCAAGGTTTTCTTATTCTTAAATTACAAAACTCGCACTTACGGACGTTTCGCCTCTAGTTCTGAAACTTTTTCATGATAGGTTTTTTTAGTTGTATATGTTTTCAAGTTTCAAATAGTTCGGCGGGTGCAACTGGTACAACATATTGTGATAAAGAATGATATTGAATATAATAGCACAAAATAAATGAAATAATATTAAACAGAAAATGACCACGTTGAATACAAACCCATAATTTGTAGAAAATCTTATGATGTCGTAGTTTAAGGGAAGTATTATGCCACATTTGAATAAATATACAACAAACGTTTTCAATAAATCAAATATGTATTTGAATTTCGGGAATTATGATATGACGATTTAAACAGTTAATATGAAATAAATTAGAATATAGAATGAATTTTTATTCTTAAACAAACCTAACTTTACAGTTCCACCATTTGCCTAATGGAATTCAACTAGTAAAATATCAAAAGTACCTAGGTAGTCTTGTTAAACAAACTTATGTTAGTTATTTGATAGAACGGTTATATTTTAAAATTTTCCCAAAAGATATTAAATTTTTTCTCATGAAAGTCACATGCGGTATTCGTAATGATGCGCGAATGAGGTAAGGTGTTGTATACCCTTTGTGCGCCCTTTAGAGCAGCCCACGAGGCCCACACAAGGCAATGTCGCCGTTCTAATAGGAGTCGTAGCTATACCTCCCCGAAAATCTATAATTAATACAGTAATTCTCATTACTCTGCAAGTATGTTAAGTGAATAAGTAAATTTAAAACAATAATTTTTTAAAGTATTTCAATTTTGGATATTCAAAAATTCCAGCATAAGTCCGAACCATCCTCGGAAATGTCTACAGCGTGCTGATGAAAACCAACGCGTTTGCAATTGCGATTCACGCCTGACTATTTCGGCACAATACTTACCAAGAGCAGGTTGTTAAAAATAAATGTTTCAAATGCGATGATAAAATTATAGGATCGAATGAAAAAATGATAATGAAACTACAATTTATCTGAATGTGATAAATATTTATTTTTCATATTTGAAACGAACCTCAACTGGTTTGCACGAATTTATTTATAAATACACAGTTTCTTAACGTACCAGTTAAAAATATTTGTACATCGATTCTGAAATAAAAACAATTCAAAATACTTACAGTTAGACAGTTTACAAATCTGATAACAATCAGGTCTTGGATAGTACTAATAATAATAATGATAATAATAATAGTGATAATTTGTGTCTGATGATGCTGTTGGTTTTATCATCCGTTTCTTTTGTTTTTGCAAAATTCAAAGGACTTGCGTGATAATAAATATTTTAAAAGTAAATTTGATTCTTGGTCTTGTACTATATAATAATACAACGAGGAGGGGATAGTTTTGGCTTACGATAGACCATTCTCGTAAAGACATGCACAGGGTGTTTTTTTTAGCCTACCTATGTACAGTAATTGCCACAAGACCTGCACGAAACAAGTAGCTGATGGGCGATTGTAGTTGACACAGTGATTGATAAATGATAAGGAAACGACTAACAGATTCAGCATACGGTATAATGACACCAAAATGCACATTCTCCTTTAAAATACTTGCTATAATTTATTATTATTATTTTTTAATATTTACAACGATAAAGCTACATACTCTGGCGTTGGCCAATGTCGTCGATACTCTTATTTCTCTCAGCAGTGTACGAAATTAATGTTATCATTAATATAATACATCAAAACTATTATAATACATTGTAAGACTTATATAATAAAACACAGCAGTATCGGTGGCCGGTAAAAAATGCCGCTCCTACAGCTGTTGTATCACAGAATGCATTGCCCCGACCCCATAGCCCAACCATACACATCATTTAGAATACAAAGGAAAACAAAAACAAAGTACCGAATATTACTCTAAACATACCTGCATTTACTGTATTTTTATTAATTTACCAATTCTTGTTGCGGTAAGAATATAGGTACACTTGTTTTCAAATATAATGTAACACCTTATCAGGCCAATAAGAATGCTACTGTTATTCTCGCCTTTTCACGTGGTACAAAAGTAATAAATATAATTTTGGAATGCCCCGTAGAGCTCGCCACCCGTCCAAAAAGATTGAGCAATACAGTTATGAAGGTGTAGTAGTGTTAAAAAAATAACAATATTTAAACGAGAACATTATTCGTAATTTCTGTGTGCAGTATTTCTAGCACTATCTTCTGTGACCTTAACTATGCTTTTCTTAGTGTCCGTGGAGCATCCTACATTTATTACGTTTGCGCCACGTTAAAGCGCGAGTACTGTATTTTATTCAAAGTAACTATAATGCGTCCAAAGAATTGACAGTCTTAATGAACTTAATATTAAAAGAAGACCCGAAAGATCTAGAACGATTGATTAATTAGTTATTACGTATTTAATTTTTCCTTTCTTTTGTACACAAATCGCAGTTCCAATTTACTTCCTAGGTAAATTTTCTTGTTGCATTAAATTCGACGGTTACGGCTAGGAATCTTCGCATATTGTACGAAAGATAGGTAAATAATTATTTTTTATTATTTTCTACACTATAACGAGTAATTAAATAAAATAAATTAATAGTCTGAACGTTATCGACAATACGCAAAAGAAAAATACGAACAACTTCCACCTCTTTAACATGTTTTTTATTCAATGTTATTACCTATCAAAAGACACTGATGATTGGGCTACGATTAGACTAGTTTCATTTAGGAACAGAACAAAAGGTGGCATTTTGTAGAGTGTCACCCTCTACGCGGCCAGTCCCTCGCGGCTTGGCGGTAATAGTTCCTCGCGCGTGCTTTCAGACGAAGTTTTCCGTTCGAAATGCAAATCCCACATGCGTTCCGGTTCACGACTTGGAGGCCGCGACTCCGGTCGTTCCGGCGAACCTCCGTGAGACCGCATGGGCTGAGGTGGTGGATAACCGAAACCCAATAAACCGCTGTATTTGCTTGCATTCGCCAAACCGTTCTGCGGACTTTGGAGTGGATTCAGTTCATTTATTGGCTGAAACGAAAGAAAACGGAAATTAGTTCACCGGAAAAGGGTTTTCACCCGGGTTAAGTTCAAACTAGGAACGATATAGAATTGGTAAAATATATAAATGTGAATATTACCTTATGCTGAATGCCATTAAGGAATGGAGCCGGGAGGTACGGGTAAAAGAGATCTGGCCTTCGTTGCAGAAATTCGGAATCCTTGGGAGTCATCGGAATGGGAGGAAGATCTAGAGACATGCGCCGTCCTCGTCGCGATGCTCCATTGCTCCACATGTGCGTACCCATGTGAACCTACAAACCGCAATATCACCGTTAATTTCATCCCTCTTTGATAACAATTGGTCGGTATACGACAAGAGGGCTTACAGAGAACGAGTACAACGATAACTTCATTAGAAAAGTACCTACATCACAGTTTTATTTGACAATTGTTGGGAATTTTCAATTATCAGAAAACTGCTATGGTGCATCTTTCTAGTACATTTTTGGAATTCCGTATGAATCTAACATTCCTTTCATTATTGTGTATATTTATTACTTACTTCCTTCCGTTAGAGAATTTCGATTAGATGAAAGTATTTAATCTAAATGGATACAAAGCAGTACGAATGTGGCGTTTCTATTGACCAATACGTTTTCCTGCATGAATGTATGGTGGAAAATGATCATTATACTCATTCTTTTAATGAAGATCGAAATGGATCGGCATTAGTAGTAAGCGCAAAAGCTGTAGCGTACCTTTAGGTTACCCTTGGTAGTGAAGGCCTTCTGGCACACGGTGCATCGAAAGGGCTTATCCCCCGTATGTGTTCGCATGTGTATCTGCAAGGCCGAGCTCGACGAGAAGTTCTTATTGCACACGTGACACAAGTGTTTACTGTTCTGTAAGCCTGCAAACACACACACAACACACGTCATGAAACCCGCGACCAGCAAACGTTAGTGCAAGCATGTACAAAAATCGTAAAGACAAAAGGTTAATATCAGACAAATATGTATAATATACCTATGTATATGTATGATTATGACAACAAAAATACAAAAATTAAAGAAGTGACGAGATGATAACGGACAGTTTAAAAATATTACATTTTCATTTCTAACTAAATGGAACAATATTTGCAAACCTGATTGTAATGATTTCATTCATTATTATTTATCATTATAAATTACGAACTACTTACTGGGGGGCCGTTTTGGAAGGGGCATCTCAGTATCTGTAGGAGCTCTCTTACTCAATTGATCTGGGGATGGCTCTTGAGGAGGAACAGGCGGAAGAGGTTTTTCAGACTCGTGCTGTGAAATGGGCGGCGGTGGTGGTAGAGAGGTTTCCCTAATGGGTAGCTGAGGCGGTTCCTCAGGAGTATGCTGCGAAGGAGGTTTATCGAACATGTGCTGCGGCATATCGCGAATTTTATGCGTCAACATATGTTGTTTCATGTTACCCTGAAAGTAATCCTGAAATGGAGAAATTGTTCTGCTTCTGTACGGTAGTAGCACTCATATTTCTAGCTTTCTCATTCTGACAAAAATGCGGCTACCGTAGGAAGAAACAAGATATAAGGACTTCAGACCGGCAACCAAGTTTGCATCCTTTTCTTTTCGTTTATTTGAAGTATCACATTCGTTTATCCAAAAAAGGATTTGTACATATTTTAAACGTTAATGCAAAAAAAAAATAAGAATGTTCAACTTTTAATTGTCGGTCTGCAAGGAATGCTCAACATACTTTTGCCACGGCACTTATTGTCATAAAGATGTATGTCAATGACTGTAAAGATGGATTCTTAATCAAAAATAGACCGCGCACTTCGGCGTATGCATAACTTGAACCTGGCCGAGCGCCAGGTGCTAATTCGAGTTGAGACATCTCGTCCCTTAACTATTGTGTCTCCCAAAATAGTATGCCTTTTTTTAATTCAGCCATACACAATTAAAAAGTGACCTTGAAGAGGAGTCATTCACATACCTTCGTCGAAAAGCCTCTGTCACAAACGCTGCATTTAAATGGCCTCTCTTTAGTATGACTGCGATAGTGGATTTCCAGGGCCGAGTGGCATGCGAACGTTTTGAAACAGATATTGCACGTTGTATTTCCTCGACCTAAGGGTCATAAAAGAGCGAAATTAAAACAAAAAAAAACAAACGAGCACACTCAATAATTACCTGCAGGATTTACTAAGCCCAGCGGACTAAAAGGCGTAGACGTTAGAACGGTGGAGGTTAGCGAAGAAATTGCTGAAGATAGCAGAGGTGTGGTGGGTTGACCTGGAGGCAAAAGGGCGAAATTGGAGAAGAGCGACGTTTGAGTAGGTATTGGCCCGGGACTAGACATAGGAGGTTGCGTCGAGCGAGGTGTGAGATCAAGTGCTCCAGATGAGTTCGTTTCCGAAGGTGCTGGACTATTTGGTTGCTGATTTGAAGGAGGCCGAGGAATCTAAAAAAAATGACAATCAATTTAAATGCCGTGGAACACAAAGATTATCTAAACGTTTAGTTTACCTGGACGGGAGTAGATCGTTGGTTGGGAGACGACCGTATTTCAGAACTTCCAGGACTTGTTATTCCTGAAGGAGCAGGAGATTTTTCGCCGTTTTGTACAGGAGACGTGATGACGTTTCTAGCACATAGATCTTCAGCAGAATAATTTACAAGTGAGGACGTTAAATGTGAAGAAGCCATAGATGTTTGAAGATTATTTTCTGATGCGCCTGGAGAAGTCGAAAAATTATGAGGATCATTCGAGCTGATATCATCGTCATCGCCATCGTCATCGTCGCCTCTGCTTTCCAAATAATCTTGTTCGGATTTAATATCAGATTCTGAACCGTACCTACTTAGGTGGAAAGGTAAACTTCCTGGTCCTAAGGGCGATAGTCCAGGCAGAGGAATATTTTGCGAAAAAAATGGATTCATTGAATTAGACAAGGAGGCGAATGAACCAGGTGATGGAAGATCTTTTACTTCAGCTGCCTGAATTTGTTCGGGAGTCAAATCTGTTGGTTCGCCAGTGTGCAACCGTATGTGCTGTTGAAGAACCAGCGCATTCGTGAATTTCTTGTGGCACACTGGACATTGATGTAGTACTCTCATTGGTGGTTTAGCCCTGTGAACGCCCATATGGGTTTTTAAATTTCCTTTCGTAGTGAAAGCTCGGCCACAGATTTTACATTTAAACGGACGTTCGCCTGTGTGTGTTCTATAGTGCATTTGGAGTGCACTTTTACAAGACAGAACTCTGTGACATATTACGCACTGATTAGGATCCGTAAGCTTGTTTTCTATATTATCCACTAACTGCTGTAGTTTTGTGGTTTCCGACGTTTTGGTTATTTCAATTAGGCTTTCCCACGAGTTGTCATTGCTTCCAGGTCTTGGCAATAAATTAGTATAAATAGCAGGATCTTTGGCAGGATCAACATTGTGTGTGAAGGGTCCTAGACTACCGGATGACGCGCTGCTGGCTGGCGACGATTGATTCGCAAATAAAAAATTAGATGGAAGTTTTTGTCCAGTTGTTATGCTTAGCGGAATCGATACAGAGTTGCTCTTATTAGAAAGATTTTCAGGTTCTTCTTGCACGTTATCGTGATGTTCATTTCCTATGCTACGTCGCTCCATTTCATCGGTACTGAATTTGCTATCCTCGCTAGATTCATCATAGGGCGAAGGTGAGGGGTACCTTTCCGGTTCCTGTTCATGTTCGTCGGTTTCCATTTCGTGCTTTGGTTTCATTTCATCTGCGTTTATTTTATTGTCCATTTTAATGTCCCTAATTTCTGACGGAGATGCAGACTGCCTTTTTTGATCTTGGGTTATGTGAACTGGTGTAGGCGATCTAATCGGTTTACTTAAGTTTTCAGGGGTATCTTGCTCTTCCCTTTTAAGGAACAACGGATGAGAAGTAAACAGCCGTAAAGCGTTCTCTGGTGGCCGCTGTGGTGATGGTTGCAGTCTACTATTCATTAACTCTGGAGGCGGAGCAGGTGGTCTGTACATCGGTATTGACGACGAAGGAAATGGTGGAGCTCCTGGGAATCCATGAGGAGGATGATGAGGAGGGCCGCCAGGTGAAAGTGCTGATTGTTGTCCTAATTGTGCTAAAAGTGGCGGATGGTATTTGTCTAAATGCTCTGGTACCGGGTTGGGATTCATTTTGATATGAGGAAATTTAGCCGCATGTCTTTGAAAGTGCACCTTTAGGTTTCCTTTAGTAGTAAAGCGACTACCGCACACATTACACTTAAACGGTCTTTCACCTGTATGAGATCGGATATGTATTTGAAGAGCAGAATCGGAACCGAACACTTTTCCGCAGTACCGACATCGATGCTTGAAGAACGGCTCGTTCCTCCCTTTATCGTAAGATAACGAGTCTTTACGCCTAAATGCAATATCGTCAGCTAAATTATTTGCTAATAAACCTTGACTGGCGTTGTCAAGAACTTCTTGGGCTCTCTTTTGTAACATTTCCAAGGTGTTGGGCTCGTCTAACGAAGGCGGGGGTTCATTATTATGAGTGATGATAGTGGAAGCTAGCGAAGAAGAAATGGAACACATGGGTTGTTGCAATTGAGGAGGAACTGACGTTGGAACTGATATTTCAACAGGTGACGATTCTACTGGCGGGGATTGCTGTATGCTGGGTGCTTGAGTAATTGGTGGTAGGGGTGTTGGCGTTAGATCTTTGGGTGGCGGTACTGTTGGAGGAACTGGAGGTGACTCTACTGGAGTCGGTTGCCTTTTAATGCTTTCTGGATTTGGTGGAGGAGAGGTAGAACTATTAACTTTGACTCTATTTAAGGAGAGTTGTTGTTGCAGTTGGTTAATAAGTTGAAGTTGAAAGACTTGCTGATGCTGCAGAGTGAACAACGTTGATTGAAGGACAGCTAAATCCTGCAAAGCTGCCTCGTTATCCGAATTATTGGCCATCGTTGTGGCTGCAAATTGGGCTACTGCAACTTTTGTATTTTGCAACGCTTCCAACGTAACATGGCCTGCTGCAGCAGGAGTTGGAAACGGAAAACCTAACCGAGGACCTTCTACATCCTCCGCAGGACTACCACTTATACTATTATTATTTTCCGTATCTTGACGATGTCTTCGAACTTGTTCAAGTCTTTTTCCGTTAACCTCTTCATCATCTTCGTCAATCTCCGAAACGACCATGTCCTCTGGGTCTGACTGAACTTCTATCTCTTCAGACTTCATTGCGCACATACTGCTGTGTTCCATGAACTCCTGTACATCGTCGAACTGTTCTTGGCACCTTTGGCAAATTAAAGGATTTCTTTCGGATAATTCCTCATTTTTCAGGGTTGTTCGTCCATCTTCAATTGACGTGACGTCCCCTACAAATAGATAAGGAACAATGAATTTCTAAACATTGTCATTAGACTTTGGGAAAATCTAAGAGGTATTTTAAGGATCAGCTAGCCCAGTTTTATTAATTCAGGCGTCATATCGTGATTTGACGATAGAATATGGGAGGGGGGAAACCTTACTATAGGCTGAGATATTATTAATGAAATATGAATAGAGAGGGGACGAATTCGAGGGGAATTTGAGCAGGCGCAAGTATGATAAAGTACCGCTGGCAACCAGCCAGGATAGCGGTTATGACAGTTGGGAGGAGACTCAGATTCATAAATAAAACACACTTGTTGCACTCTCATACTCTCCGCCTTTAGAAACGCCCAGATAAGGGGTACCCCATCCATCGCCAATTGTTCATTCATTCATTCATTTATTATTCCCTCACTCCATTGTCTTCTTAATTACCGTGAGAAATTAAATTTGAGACCGGTTTTCAAATTGCTTATTATTTTTAAGGAACGTGCTCCTCGTGTTCCTCATCCAAAGTGTAATCAAATTGATACCAACAGCAATAACTTATCGCATATACCTGTGTTTGTTAATTTATCTAACCATGGTATAATTTGCTATAAAATTTAGCTTTGTTTAGCTAGAGGAAAATAAGGCAGTCAAAACGCTTCAAGTTTAGAAAGAAAATAGTACAGATGTACCTACTGTTGATGTTTGGATGAAGGAGATTGGTTTGGAAGTCCGTACTGTTTAACGTATATTGAAAAATTGTTTTAATGCAGTTGGAATATAAGTATGAAAATGAAATTTCAATCAGGCTAATTACGCTTTTGTGGGCCTACTACAGGCCTAACACCTGTTTGCCCCAAGCTGCAATAACTCATGAAGACTTACGAAGAATCATATCATTATCGGTTGGTACAACACCCCAGTTGTTTACAAAAAACATATTTCAAGAGTCCTTTAGACTTTAGATCTTTAGAGCGACCAGGCGATAGTCACGTCCCGATTTAGGAATAGTTTTATAGATTAATGTTGCATTGCACAAAATCCAGAAGGGATTCCGATTCCCATACACTGTCCTTCATAGTTAAAACGTTATAACCTTATAGTCTTGCTGGATTGTGTAATCAAATATTATGGTTTGCCGCGTTTCATAGTTTTACAAGTTAATTAATATATGGTTCTATATGCGTAAGAGGTTTTGTAATTTATGTGGTTTGGTTAATTTTTGTGGCATTTAATTATGTATCGCACATCGAGTAGGTACCTGACATAATGATGGGGGCATATTTGGGACACAATACCGGCAGCATACATACGGCTCGATGACATTATAGAATGACATAAATATACAGCTTGTTTGTCTCTCTCTCTTTCTCTTGAAACGTAAGTATAGTATATGTACCCGCATTATGAACGGTTGGTTGGAATTGTGCCCAAGCGGTCAACGCATTTCCGTCTGTCTCATTCCTTCTCCGATTTTTCTCCCTCTTTCATTATATCCATAATAAGCCCATTATAAACTCATACTTACGACGACATAGGTAAAATTGTTTGAACATAATGCCTACGCAATAAACATATCCCTGCTGTAGAGCAAGGTAAGTTACCTACGTGTGTTGGTAGTTATAGTCTTAAGATGGATGGATGGATAAATTCTCAAATTACGTCGCGCATTCAAGATGACATAAATGTAAGTGGGTTCACAATGGAGTAGATGACAAATAACCGGGAGGGAAAATATAAAGGAAGTCGTAATATAAGGGAAATGTCAACGTCATCATCGTGAGGTGGAACATATTACGTTTGATTAAAAAAAAAAACTGTGGGGGAAGTCGTGTAACTCTTAATTAGTCAGTTCTATTAAATGGTGGGAAAATGGGGAAAATAAATCAAGTACACAATTTGAGAGGAAATTGAAAGAATCTTTGATAACTAATCTGACAGAAGACGTAGAAGAACCTGGAAGAATTTGATGTAAATGAAAGCACTAATCCAGTCAAGCATAAAGGGCTAGTCAGAAGTATATTAGAAGCAGAAATGGGAACTAAGAGGAGTACAGAGGTAGATAGACTTAAATTAGACAACTTTTCGCAAATATTTTATGATCTAGGATGTTATACTTTTAGAGAAATGCGATTAGCTCGGGATAGGCAAGAGTAGAGGTGCGTGTCCTACCACTCTTAAGACTGACGATCCTATGAATATAATATGACAATTCAATCAGGATTTCGGAATACGTAAATAAAAATGTAGTGGGAAAACAGAACTTGACTTGAACACTGTGGAAACTGATGAGCTATCTATCAAACTAGTTCAATTTATTTCAATGTTTTCGGTGGTCATTTTAAAAACAAAAATTTCTTTTTATTATTATTCGACGTTAGTAGTAAAAAAGAAATAATGAATACAATAGGGCAATTCCTGAAAAGGTTCTTCAAAGCATTTTCTCCTAAAGCTGTAGATATATTTATACCTTACCGTCTTTTCTTTTTCTGACAAAGCTACTTATGCATATAAATATCGGTATATTAAGGAGTATAATAAAAACGATTTTACGTTTTCAAAGAAGCAGGACCGATTTTTAGTAGAATCCTTGCATCATCGATATCTGTCGATGACGAAAAAAAAGAAGAGATGCTGGTTTCAGAGTACCTACCTAAATATGCAAAACGGCTTTTCGCTTTGATTCCCCTTCCCGTATATATATCGAATAAACGCGAGTATCTGAAGTGAAATACCTCCGGGATTAGAGAAATGTAAAATGTATATGAGAAGTAGATATCTATTTCTATTTGCCATATTCCGGGTCGTAAACTTTGCACTGGCGGCCATTCCGTTTTATATCGAACTTCGAAATTGAATTTTCAAACTCAAACTCTTGAGAAGCTCCTCTAAAGGCGTGGTTAGTTTGGCCCTGTTTCGACTCTACATTTCAACGAAGAATAAAAAGATGCTGTAACAGGGAGGAGGGAGCCCAAGAGATGAAATCGGATAAGCATCTATTAGCTATACAGTTTTCAAACTGGAGGGTGCACTTTTATTGTTGCTTTGATATGCCGCCCTTATTTTTTTCTCCAAATTGCATTAAAATTGAACCATTCATAACTATGAATAGGAATGAATAAGTGCACGGTATGTAGGTCAAAATATCGAAAAGAAAATTAAACTAATTGTTTTAATTAAAATTTGAACAAGATTTCAACTAAATTTCCATAAAACTTGTAAAAGGAGTTGATGATATTGGACAAATAAATAATTATAGTAGATACTTTTTGCACTGAACCTGAATCCTTATAAGTTGGTAGTTTTGAAGTAGATACTTCCATGTTTTATAAAAGTTATTGTTACAAATGCTAAACATTTTTGATATTAATTTTATTTTCGTTAGTAATAATGTGGGTAAAAAAACATATAAGTGCCAAATATTATTTTTGAGGGTGTAGAATTCGTGTACGACTAGGATCAATAACATGGTTATTTCTTACAGTAACATACGTATGGGGGTTTATAAAAGATTATGCGATGACTATGTTGATATGATAGCTAGCTGTAGGGTGACAGACAAATGGTCTAGCTCACTGGCTCGTGCTGCCTGATGTTCCCGTTTCCGTTTCCATAAAGCTGGAAACAGACTGCTGTCATAACGATACGTACCGCTCACTTCCCTGAATATTTAACCAGGCTCTTCCTGTAAACACGAATACAGGGCCGTATCTCATAAAAATATAGTTTGAAGTCATAAATTATTAGGTGGTATAATTCGATTGATTTTCCCAAGGGACACATGCAACATCATTGGAGGTAATGTGGGACTAACGTCTTCAATTTTCAACAAACATTATTTTTATTGAATATTTTATTATCATGATATTTGTGTCGGTGGTTTCGAAAGAAAGCTGCATACTCTAATTTTTTCCATAGGGTGTTGTTTACAGACAAATTTGCTTCACACACGGGACAGAATTTTGACTTTTCACAATAATTATTTCCTTCGCGATTTCAAGAATTGTTCTTGGTGAATGTGTGGTGCAAAATTTTTGGTTTTTGGTTGTAGATACAGAATTTATTAAGCAGTAAGATATTTGCTAGACACCTATGTTACCAATCCACGCACAGGACCGGCTTCGGATTGTAAATTATTTTGATTGTCTTAAATTCAATAACTCAACGTGCGATTGTTTGTTACATCTAGTTTACTATCTGGTTTATACCCTCTAATGTTCGGCACTTATTTACATTACATCCTGTGTAGATACAGACAGATTTTGATAATCTTTCTAAGCCGACTCTGTAAAAATAATTCGTTTTCAACGGACCACTCTGTCCCTACATTTGTCGCGCGATTCCTGTTTCTCATAACATCGTTCCTTTTATTGATTTTTTTATTATTAAACGGCTGTTTTTTCACCGGTTTCTTTCGTTTAAGGTTTCAGTCGCAGCCTACTGTGAATCACCAGAAGTTTTTATTAAAATATTTCCGCGACACGAGAACTCAGCTGATGACGATTTGGAGAATGATCTGTCGCAGATGCAGTTTTCAGTTTATGTTATTTCGGTAAACAAACGGTTGGTGATGGTGGTGGAGACTAGACACACCGGAAGCATTCGAGGGCTTCGTTGTCATTCACCCTAATTTCATCTCATATGTTGGCTGCTACTGATTTTTTTTTGGCCTATTTTATCATATCTCTGGAATGATAATTATAATACAATGAATTTCGATTTTATTAAGGATTATGTTACAATAGTTTACAATAGTTTTATTGAAATTCGTACCCGCTTTTTGTGTAATTCAATTACGGGGTCATCACCAACATATATATAGGCATATGCATACTTCAATTATTATAGGCTCATTAAGGCGATCACCATATGTCACCTTTGTACGTACTTTAACGCTGTTTGCTATTGTGCGAACCCCATAAAATTAACGACAATTTCATTTAAACTATTACATATCGAAGCCATAAATTATAGTTTACATTTTGCGGGGGTGTGCAAGTTAATAGAGGTTGATGGT